TTCCGATCACTGATGTGCTGTGGATGTCCTTGAAGTTTTTAGGGGAATCACTAAAAATTTGGGAAACAAGCGGAAAAGACACAAAAGACAAATAATAACTTGGAAAAAGAACATATTTAGTATTAGTGGCAGTAAATACAATGGGCCTCATTCACGAACGGTTCTTAGGAACAGATTTGTACGTAAATCCTACTTACGCGGTTTTTACGAAGAAAGTGGCATTCACGAATATTTCTCGTAACCAGAATTTCTCTTGGGCAAGTACAAATCCTACGAGTCCTCAGGAGCACTCGTACGCATTCAGTGCCGACATGTTCACACGCTGGGGTTGTCCTCTTTGGTGAAGTTGAATAAAAATACAACATTCCAGTGATATGTCCGTCATATCGATGTATGTATTTATTTATTTGTAGTAATCTTTATTAGTAATCTTTATTTATATACCGCCTTTTTCACTGCAGATCTGGCCTACTTTTTAATTCATTTTGAAATGAAATGTGCCAACGCTTTATCAAATACATTGGAAATCTTGCCGTGTATTAGTGACCCCTTCCTATTTATAGGGGGCATTTCTTTATCCACGGGCCACAGAACAACGGCATATATACTGCTGCTGCAGGAGGCTGCGGGGTCCGCGCTGAGTCTCTGCGCTGGTCTCTCCTATGGATCTATACTGGTCTGCACTGGTCTCTCCCATGGATCTAGACGGGTCTGCACTGGTCTCTCCCATATACGGGTCTGCACTGGTCTCTCCTTACGGGTCCGTGCTGCAGGCTCCTGGATCCATACGGGTCCGCGCTGGTCTCTCAAGTCTGGTCTATGCGGTCTATCTTCGGTCCGCGCTGGTCTCTGCGCACCGGTCTCTCCAGTCAGGTCACTCCAGTCTATGCGGTCTCTCCTATAGGTCCGCGCTGGTTTCTGTGTGCTGGTCACTCCAGTCTCTCCTCGGGTCTGCATTGGTCTCAGCGCTGGTCCGCGCTGGATCTCCTCCCAGGGTCCAAAATATTTTGAGATGAATCTCAAAACATTTTGAGATTCATCTTTAAAATAATACATAATATATTTTTAAATTAAGCTCATAACATTTTGAGATTCATCTCATCATATTCTTAGATTAATCTCATAATTTTGCTAGTTCGACTTTATTATCATAATATTTAGACTTTTAAGTCAACATTTTATAACTTTATTCTCAGTCTGGTAAAAGAAGTGTAACTCGTTGCTTTAGGCCTGTTGCTGTTTCCTCTGCCGTCTGCACACGGCCCTGCAGTCCCTTATATGGGCATTAATGGGCGGTTACTTATGCTAAGTACCTATGCTAATGAATCACCTGGCACGCGCGCTGTACTTACGAGGAAATGGGATTCATCAATCTGAGAGAACAGCTGCGAACAATTCAACGGCTTACGAGTGCGTTGATGAATCCCACGTGGGGACTTCTTAGAAATCTACTTAAGGACAACTTGAGAAGAAAGTTGAGTAGTTTCTTACGAAGTTATTCGTGAATGAGGCCCAATGTCTGTAGTTTACTATTATGATTATTATAACGCTATTATTCCTTTTTGCAAACAACAATAAACATTATTATTAGTGGTATTCTTCCCTCTAAATAAATTGTCATTTTCTACCCATTTATTATTCCATTCTGGGTCGGGGGAGTGACAATCCAAGCTGCCTCCCAAGTCTCAAAGCACCAGTCCCTCGCTGATACTCCCGCAGGTGGGGGGTCCAAAGGGGGATGGCTTCTCCGTCATCAAAGACATGGCCTTGGACTTTCAGCGGGGGCTTCAGGCAAAGTGGGGTTAAGTGTCTTGCCTCAGTTTGGTTCTGGTGTTTCCACATACAGTGAGTTCCGGGCCATAATCCACAGCTTTGACCACTGCGGCTTATACTGAGATACGGCCTAATTTTAGTAACAGTACAGACCTGCAGGAGGGAGTCGTTCACCGAGGTCCAACTTAACTGTTTGAATTGTCATAAAGTCATTTGTCCTCTCACTTGACAGGAAAAAACTAGAAGAAAAACATGGTGCGGTGCATAAGTGGCGTCATTTGTGTTACGATACAAACATACTGTACAATACAAACATACAATACAAACATACAGTATAAACCGCACAGTTAGAGGTTACAGGCACCGTTAGAAAAAAAGCGTTTGCATTATGTATTTGTTTGTTACTAAGCTGATTCAATAAAGTGTAGACATCCTCCCTTATGATATTTTTGTGTATATATCACAAAAAATGAATTGTTTTCGGTTCTCGATACATAAATGCAACATTATTTAAACATTTTAGCGTGGGACGTGTGCGGCTTATAATCAGGTGCGGCTTATACTTTGGAAAACACAGTATATGCATTATTTGTCAAATATTTAGTTCAGCTGTTTAAGAGTGAAAGTAGAGAAGACCACTTTGACCCAGCTCTCAGCCCAAAGGGTCCAATAGTGACTCACGGGGCTCTACATTATATATTGTAAGCGTATATTTGACACAATTTGCTCTTTACCCACGTTTTTTAAGCTATTTTAGTGCCATACGAACACAATTCACCGATTCTTGAGAAAACTAAGGAGTTTTCTCAAGAATCGGTGAATTGTGTTCACTACAGATTTTACTACAAATAACAAAACATGTTCAGGATTATAACTAGAGGAATAGAAAATGTTCATGTTTTTTTCAAAATGTTTAGTTTCAAAACAGAGAAATGAAATCCTTACTTAATATTCATGAATCACCTTTAATATCTACTATTTGGAAAGTAAAACAGAATCCAACTTCTCCCTCTTATACTTTTACTGAGACCTAAAACAAACCAGTTATTAATGAATCACTTTAATATCTCAGAGTTTATTTTAATGGACGATGTTCTTGTTTGTGAGAGAAAGTTTTCTCCACGGACGTCTCATCTGGATTTGCTGCTCGCACCTCGAGGCCTAATCAGTTCAACATCCAGAAATCCACAGCCTGCGTCGCTCACACTCAGTTAGCAGCAGTATCGGTCAAAGATGCATAATAATTTAATTTCAATCATTTCATTTTCGGCCTTGAAAATTTTCTTATGCAACGATTTTATGTATTGTATATGGGACACTATTGGGCCTGTTTGCAATGGTAGGGGTAAACTGGAGCACATGGAGGAAACCCACACAGACACGGAGAGAACATGCAAACTCAACATGAAAATATCTGGAGGTGGTGATTGAAGCACAAGCGCTAACCACTCTGCCACCATTTTAGTTTCATTGAATCATGCCCTAAAGTATTCACACCTAGGATTTTCAGAGTTTGACAAATCTCACTCCCTTTTCTTCAATTTTTTCCTGATTTAATGAAATCACCACAGCGTCGGAAATTGAATTACATTTCCAGGAACGCGGCCAAGATAGATTATGTGCAGAAATACTCAAGTAGGGCTTTGCCAACCTCCTTTTTTTTATAAATGTAGAAATCAATGGTAAAATATTTTGCTGGCGGAGATGTATTGAGCTGAGTAATCAAGTCACGGACTGCGAGGATGTGTTCTTAGGAAGCTATTTGACGAAGAGGTGAGAGCAGCAGATGTGGAGGATTTGAGACGAGGGCTGTGGGCGTCTGTGCTGAAGTCTGTTTGCGTTTTGTGAGAGGATATAGTGGTTCTATGCACGCCTGAGACCTGCCCTTAACTCAAGTACAAGCAAAGCAGCATGTGGAGTTTACAAGAATGGAGATGGGAATGCACACGGAATAGATGCCAAGGTAAAGAAAGGGAAGTCTGGAAGGGCTTAAATAGCAGATATATAAATACTAAAGACCAATAATAATCCAAAATCAGATGCGTGAATGGATGTACACATTTGTATGAGATGTATCTTCACACTTTCTCTTCATCTGACATAACTAGATAAATACAATACAATTTAATCTCGTATAGCCCTAAATCACAACAAAAGTAATCTCAGAGGACTTAACAAAACCATTGAAATCCCCAACACAGATCAGAGAATCAACAGTTAAAACTCATAAAATATTTAGAACACATGTTGAAAAATGTCCATACATGTTGTAGAATGTTAAATAAATACAATGTTATTTCCACTCTTTAAAACCTAATGCACTTAATCAGCAACTTTGATCTCATGTTTGGCTTTAATCTCATGCGGCTGGATGTTTCTGTTCCATCTACAAATCAACAGACTGGAGCCAAAGTTGTTTTCCCCGGATCAGTGTTTCTTTGGGTTAGAGTTGGAGTGGAGTTTGGGCGTGGGGTCATGCTTTGGCTGCGGTTCAACCAGTTTTATGGTTAGGACTAGAGTTTGGCTTAGGGGTCAAGGTCATTATAAGTGTAAAGGTTACAAGTCCAAGCATCATCATTTGGTGATATCAGTTTGTGTGTTTTCTGTCACAGAAGAGAAACACTGATATACTGAGACATTGTGTGAGCTGTTAAACATGTCACCTATGAATTCATTTTGTCTAAAAAATGTCTAACAATAATTAGAAATGTCACTGATTCTGGCAAGCAAACTGTGAGCGTGTGAATGATGCAGATGTGCGCGCAGTGCAGACAGTGTCCACACGGGAGCGCTGTTGCCCTCTGCTGAGAAGCTGCTCTGACCCACATTAGAACAGAACATGAGGCGCAGGTCTGAGTCAGGATCATCACTTCTGCTCCATGTGAACCAAGTTTAGGGCGTTTGATGATGTGAGGCACGTAGCTGCAGACTGTGACATTAACTTTGATCCACGGGGAGCGGCTCTGTGCCCAGGTCCCGGGTCCCGGGTCAGGGGACTGCGTCTCCCGCTGTCCTCTCAAACAGCTGCTCTAGATACGCACATATTTGCTAAGTTGGAGGAGTATGCGTCGCAGCTCCGTCGATAGGACGTGACCAGTGAAAGTGAAAGTGTACGTGCTCAGAAATTGAACTGCGCTGATCTGGTGCAAACTGATCTGGTCCAAACCGCGGACTCCTACTTATATTGACCGAGAGGAAGTTGTCTTTTCACGTTGTGGGCTGTGGACATGGCATCTCTTTATCAGAGGTTCAGCAGCGGGACCATCGAGACCAACAAATCCTTTCCAAATCCTCCAGAGGCGAGTCACCTGCTCGGGCAGAGCGCGGAGGGAGAAAGGGCTCCTGGGAGAGCACTACACCAATATCACCTCCAGCAGGACGACGAGGACGTAAGAATAAGTCCCACTGTTTATTTACAATTTCGGCCTCCTCAATATTTAATATTAATGCGCTGCAACAGTGCCTTCGTTTCTCTGTAAACTTATTCAATTGTGTATCGTCGTTTTCATTGGTCAGCTTGTCTATTAATACGTGACGCATGTCTTACGTATACGAAAATAATATAGCTGTTGTTTTACACTTAATCACAGACATATAAGAGCCCGAAACGGTGCTCTGAGCCGTCATAACTGCAATAGTCCCCACGAGTGTTGTTCCACGTAGACAGGATTATGAAACTCTCAGGAGTTATGTTATTGCGTAGTAAGCCTATATCATAACTCTGGCTTTACACAAAACGTGCCGAGCACTTTCAGCACCATGGACAGAGATCAGCCTGCAGACACCGCGGTGTGTGTTTCAGGACCAGGGACGGCGCCAGCCGCCTGTTAATCTGTTGGTCACACACAAACAGCACCACGGACAGCCTGCATCACGTTATAAGCCCTGCACCGCCCTCATCTAAATATCTGGCACCGTTAGACTCCCTCACAGCAGAGAGTCTGGCCTGGATCTCAACACGAGACCTGAAGGTCACAAAAGTCATGTAGAAAAGCATGTGAGCTCATATGCAGATGTGTGGCCTTACATGAGGAGGGCAGATTTAACTGAGAACATACAGTGTCTTATGTAAATGTACCTCATATTTGTGGAGCACAGGTCACGGGTGCAGCTTTAGGCAGTGCTGATGCAGCTTTAAGGTCTTTGCATGTGTTGGGAATATTCATTGTGTGTTTGTTATGATCAATTTAACAGTCAACCTTTGCACCATTCTCTAACCTGGATTATAAAGCCTTTGACCAAGGTTTAATTCATTAGAACATTTGTTGAAGCTGGGGAAGCTGCAAGCCTCAAAACATGAAACTGAATAGTTTGTTAGTTTGACTATCGTTTTCCTGTGTTTAGGCATCATTAGATCAACTTTTTTAGAGATAAAGTGGAAAAGTGAGGACCTCCGTCACCCAATAAATCAAATAGTGACTCTTGTGGCTCTGTTGGATAAACCACATAGATTATTAATGATGAAAAGAATTCAGGTACCCTACCTTTTACTGGCTGATAAAACACAGTATGGAGTTAAACTTATCTATGTGTGAACTAAATGTCAGATTTATCTCTACAAATCATCATCCCAAAGAATTAATAATAAAATAGTTGTATTCCAAGGTTCTGGATTAGTTCCCACATGCATTCATTTCTTCATGTTTGTACTGTGATTGTATGTATGTGATACCTGTGTATGTGCATGTGTTTTTGCTTGTGTATTTGCATCTGTGTGTGTGTGTGTCTAAATGGAAACAAATAGAGCCACTGATAGAGCACCACTATGATCACTATTGTATATTTCAAGATGATTAATGTCATACAATTAATAGATATGTAATAATGTATGGATTCCTGCTGTCAGACTGCATCATGTGCTGCTGGGCTCATTTGTGTTTTCATGATTGCTAATTATGTTGAATGGATGATGAATGAATGCATTCTATAAACAAAGACCTGTGACAGTCGCTGCAGTAGCTTTGGCCACAGTCGCTGCGCCGCAGTGGCAGGTGGAACACCAGTGCACATGAATAGAGCATGAGGCGGATTTATCGACTGCGTCTTTGTGTTTTGTTTGTGCCATGCTGAGTGCAGACATGATCTGAAATCAATATCAGTCCCTATTCTTCAGACTGAGAGACCCCCGTAGTGATGCTTTATGAAATCCTCCTTCATAACGGCTTAAACCTGCTGCTCTCTGCTCATTCTAGACACAGTTCTGTCTTTGCTTTTTGGAGAAAACAATGCATTACTTTGGCCTGGCTTTTACATTGAAATTATGTTGCAACAATGTTTACTGAGACAAAAGCCCATATGTGGAGCTGTATTTTACTGTAGCTTCATAGGCTCTCTTAGAACGCTCTGTGTTGAATTTTGCTGATCAATGATGTCACAGATAGAGCTGCTTGATTTTGTGTATTTGTTTTTGGTCATTAATCATAAATAATAAATGCTGAAAGATCATGTTAAAGAACTGTAAAACAAATCATAGTATTTGTCCCTCAGGTGGCATATGAATACTAGTATCTACTGTATTTGTTGTTTTTGTTGACAGTAGACAGTCAAAAACAGCCAAAACAGGAGCTAAACCAGGATTAAACCAGGACTGACAATGGGGAACACTGTGCTTGTGAACATATTTCTCTAGCCTCCTTCCCCCGTGACTGTAAACAAGGCTGCTAATGTGTGTTTGCGGACAAAACAAATGTATTAATTTAGGTTAAAAAAAAGATATGAATGACTTATATTGTGATATAGTTTTCAGCCATTACGCCCAGCCCTAGCGACAGGTGAAGATAATGGATGTAGATCCACTTCAGAAGTGTGTGACAGTGGCCCTCATTTATGAAACTTGCGTACGGCCAAATCAGGGTGTAAATGAGGCGTACGCAAATAATTTGTACTTTTCAACATTTATCAATCTGGACGTGAGCGTACGGTACGCACAAAATGCACGCCAAAAGAGGCATGAAAATTTGGACATCAATAAACATATTCCCACTCTGGCAAAAATATGAGCTGCATTTTCATTGAGCATCAAAATGTTAAATTTGCGCGTCAAACATGCAAACTTTGAATAAATCACAGATTTAGAGAGCCTCTTCTGTTTCTTCGTTTTTAAATCTGACTTGTGTGTGTATTATTTTCATCTGCATGTTTAAAAAAAAAAAGTGAATATCTTTGCGATCCTGGTCTGTGACAGGCGATACACAAAAACACTTGGCTTACTAACTTACTTAATGTGTGACCCATCTATTGCTCCGTAAATCTGTGCATTCATGAGAAGATGCCCCTGACGCTTGACCCGGTTAATGATGAGATAGAAATATTCATTCATTCATTAATTTCTAAAGTTCAAGAGAGATGAGTGCTGCAGTGGGTCTAAAAAACTTGTATATATAATGTATTACATATTATATCAGAGGAGCTCATGGATGAAGAGGTCACTGAACCTACCACTTCTTCTTTAAGAAAGAATGTATTCAGTTGTTATTCCGATCACATGCCTTTTTGCACCTCTCCACAAGCTGCTGTTTGTTGCTGCAGATCTATATTTGAATGCAGATGTGTTCTGTCAAATGTCGGCCATGCCGTTGTAAACATGTAAACATCTCTTTGTGCTTCTAGCTTGAAGCCAAACGATAACGATACCTCAGCTGCAGAAGTCACAACAAAACATTAGAGACGGCCTGAGATCTTGTGTTGTGAGATTCTGTTGGATAGAATGAGATGCAGATGTGGAAGAGTAGTGTGTGGAACGTTTGTGAAATGTCAGATTTTTCTCACACTTGTTTGCATTGGAATATCAGAGCAACATCCCATCGTCTCTTGCTCGTTTGAAGCCTGACCACTGTTCCAAAGCCTTTTCATCTCTGTCGGGGGTAACGGCTTTTTCCCAGGTTCGTTTGTTTACGTTTGGTTTGCAACATGACACAAAAGGTTAAGGGCAACATTTGTGGAGGTGATCCAGATAGCCGTCTGGATCCAGTCTCCTGGCGGTGGTCTGTGCTCTACGAGTTAATTTGTTAATCATATGTACTTAACTGTGATGCGTGAATATTATAGAGCATCCTGAGTAAATGTTATTGTCATGATCAAGGTGAAAACAGTGCTTTTTGCTTCAAATTCAACTGTAGACTTTGACTTGAAATTATAATCAAAGCAATATTGCAATATCACAATGAAATCATCTAAAAACTACTGGAAGATGCAGATCACGGCACCTGCCTGATCCCCTTCTCCTCTTATTTGTGAAAGTGATGTCCTCATTAGAGCTAAAACAACAGCGCTCATGCTAACGCAGTAATGCCATGCTTGTTCTACATTAGCGCTGCACAAACAGAGGAATTAGCTGCGTCTCTTCAGACACAAAACACACGCTCCTTATCTGCTTCAGTCTCTCTGAGCCGCCTTTATTTCTCAATCTCCGCCTAAATCCTCCATCAATACCTCTGATATTCATTTCTGAGTAAAAATCCTCTGATGAGGATCTCCCACTGCCATAACAACAATTTAATCAAAGTTGAATCCAAAGTTGGGAGGATGATATTGGCTTGTTCTATTGAGCTGTTTGTTAATGTCATGGGTTCTATAGAGGATGAGATGGAATTAAATGTCACCAAAGGTTCTGTCTGCAGTTGAAAATCTAAATGAGTTTCTAGCATTAAATATCAACCCGCTGTCCTTGCAGATTTAAAACTGATGAGGGATGACTTTGGTTAAGCTGATAATAAGTCAGCGCTGTGGCTCAGAGCAAAGCAGTGGGATATCCATGTCTTTTCGTGTCTTACCGGGCCACTTTCTCCCTGGTTCTCCCTGCGTCTGGGTGGCTTTCCTCCAGGAGCTCCAACCTGAGTCTTTAGTATCAACAGTTATGTTACTCACTGGTGTCAAAGTAACCAACTGTTTATGTTTCCCATAAACAGTTGATTTATGGGAAAACTGACAATATTAGAAGGTATCTGCAAAATGTGGGAGTTTGGTAAATACAATTAGAGCCAGGTCAAACTCTCAATTCTTGTTTCATTTATTGTTGTGTTACAAAGATTTTAGTAGTTTGATTTCTGGATAGTGAATCTTACTGATTTCATGGACACCACCATCACCCAGGACCTCAAGCCGACCATCAGCTCCTTCATCAAGAAGGCCCAGCAGAGGATGTACTTCCTGCGGCAGCTCAGGAAAGCCAAGCTGCCTGCACAGATGTTGGTGCAGTTCTACACGGCCATCATCGAGTCTATCCTCACCTCCTCCATCACCTCCTCTATCACCTCCTCTATCACCTCCTCCATCACCTCCTCCATCACCTCCTCTATCACCTCCTCTATCACCTCCTCTATCACCTCCTCTATCACCTCCTCTATCACCTCCTCTATCACCTCCTCTATCACCTCCTCTATCACCTCCTCCATCACCTCCTCCATCACCTCCTCCATCACCTCCTCTATCACCTCCTCTATCACCTCCTCTATCCACTCCTCCATCACCTCCTCCATCACCTTCTCCATCACCTCCTCTATCACCTCCTCCATCACCTTCTCCATCACCTCCTCCATCACCTTCTCCATCACCTCCTCTATCACCTCCTCTATCACCTCCTCCATCACCTCCTCCATCACCTCCTCCATCACCTCCTCTATCACCTCCTCTATCACCTCCTCTATCACCTCCTCTATCACCTCCTCTATCACCTCCTCTATCACCTCCTCCATCACCTCCTCCATCACCTCCTCCATCACCTCCTCTATCACCTCCTCTATCACCTCCTCTATCCACTCCTCCATCACCTCCTCCATCACCTTCTCCATCACCTCCTCTATCACCTCCTCCATCACCTCCTCCATCACCTCCTCTATCACCTCCTCCATCACCTCCTCTATCACCTCCTCTATCACCTCCTCCATCACCTCCTCTATCACCTCCGTCACTGTGTGGTTTGCTGGAGCCACAGTCTTGGATAAAGCAGAGTCTACAGCGCATCGTGCACTCTGCAGAGGGTGATCGGTCACAGCCTCCCATCGCTGCTGGACCTCTACGACGCCCGAGCTCAAGGCCGGACTGGTCGTATCACTGTTGATCCCTCTCACCCGGCACATGGACTGTTCCAACCTCTTCCCTCAAGCAGGAAGCTACGGCCCATTCGGACCAGAACCTTCCGCAATAAGAACAGTTTCTTCCCCTCTAATGTTGGACTCTTGAACACTCACCTGTCCCCCCGCCCTTTATTGAGTCACTTTACTGCCCTTTATAACGTCACTTTTCTGCACTTTACTGCTGTCACCTTGCGGCACTGTCCTATGAAATCATCTACATCTCCAACAATGTATTCGCACATGTTTTGCAAGTGATCAATTTACTCGCAAACGGTAAAATTTAGCGACTCCGTGAAGTAAACATTCCAGGCAATACGAAAATAGCTTTGATTTTTCTGTGGGACGTAGGGAGGATAAGCTAAAAAGTCAGTATGAAAGTCAGTGTACAAATCGAATCTTCGAGCGTTGACCCGTGAGGTATAAACAGCCAATTGCAAAGTTTTTCACTCACACGGGGACTGCCAAAGATCATCAGAGAGTCGGATGATTCACTCCCCTGTGTGTACTTGTTGCAGCTTAGGCAGCAGCGCTCAGAGGAGCCAGAACACCGGCTGAAGAGTGCACATTATTGATATAGACAATTATGAATACAATAAAATGATATTATGTGTATATAATGGCTGTGACTTCTATCTGTGACTTCCTGTTACTTAAATGGCAATAACAATTAGTACTGTTGAAGCTTGATACATGATTGCGGTGCCCTTTTTCAGTCGACCAATGGATTGTAAGATTACTTGAAACTAGTGAAGAATAACACTTTTTGGAATAAAACAAAAATGAGAATGCCAGATCTGAAACCCGCCCTGTTCTTTCTGAGTTTACACGAGCAGAATAAGTCTCGAACAAAAGGATGTGCGCCTTGTAAAACTTTATGGCTCCCAGCGGAATCATGACACATTCATTTTTAAAAGTGCAATCTCACATTTCTTCCCCATTAATTAGCTCCTCTCTCTTTCTACCTTCTTTCCCTCTAGCTCTCTCTCGCTCTCTCTCTCTCTCTCCCTCTCTGTCTCTTTCTATCTCTCTTTCTGTCTCTCTCTTTCTCTCTCTCTCTCCAGAAAGCAGTTGAAAAAAGTTGACATCTATTTTACTTTGCGTCTGTCCCGGTGGAGCCATTTTGTTTTCCTCTGCTGAATCCATTACTAGAGAAAACATCCCAGAGTCTGTTCCCATCAGCTCTGCCCTAACGAGGCTCTAGAGATAACCATCTGAAGAACTGAGATTTAGATCTCACACTGCTGCGCAGGTGTTTGTGCGTTTGTGTGTGTCTGTGTAGAGGTGACCAGTGACGTGCGGCGAGGTTACTGACTTCCTCCCAATCAGATTCACGCATGTATCAACAGGACCAACAGCGAAGTATGTTTCATGTGTGTGACGGTCTTATCTCATAAATTAACTCTACAGACCACTTCAGTTCAGAGCAGTTTCATTTCTAAGTCCAGATGATGGTTAGAGTTCAGATACAGTGTGTAATCCTTCATTTGGAAATAAGTCCAGCTGAGCTTTAAAAAGTAAAAACAAACAGGTGTCTCCTCCGACTTCTGGTTTCTTAAAGTAACATTCGTAGCCTTCACTTCCCGATTGTATCTTTCCTATTGACATTGGAAGTGTTTGTGTAGAGATGACTGTGCGTTTGTGTAGAGGTGACTGTGTGTTAGTGTGTTTGTGTAGAGGTGACTGTGTGTTTGTGTAGAGATGACTGTGCGTTTGTGTAGAGGTGACTGTGCGTTTGTGTAGAGGTGACTGTGTGTTAGTGTGTTTGTGTAGAGGTGACTGTGTGTTTGTGTAGAGGTGACTGTGCGTTTGTGTGTTTGTGTAGAGGTGACTGTGCGTTTGTGTAGAGGTGACTGTGCGTTTGTGTAGAGGTGACTGTGCGTTTGTTTAGAGGTGACTGTGTGTTTGTGTAGAGGTGACTGTGCGTTTGTGTAGAGGTGACTGTGTGTTTGTGTAGAGGTGACTGTGCGTTTGTGTAGAGGTGACTGTGTGTTTGTGTAGAGGTGACTGTGTGTTTGTGTAGAGGTGACTGTGTGTTTGTGTAGAGGTGACTGTGTGTTTGTGTAGAGGTGACTGTGTGTTTGTGTAGAGGTGACTGTGCGTTTGTGTAGAGGTGACTGTGTGTTTGTGTAGAGGTGACTGTGCGTTTGTGTAGAGGTGACTGTGTGTTTGTGTGTTTGTGTAGAGGTGACTGTGCGTTTGTGTAGAGGTCACTGTGCGTTTGTGTGTTTGTGTAGAGGTGACTGTGTGTTTGTGTAGAGGTGACTGTGTGTTTGTGTAGAGGTGACTGTGCGTTTGTGTAGAGGTGACTGTGTGTTTGTGTAGAGGTGACTGTGCGTTTGTGTAGAGGTGACTGTGTGTTTGTGTAGAGGTGACTGTGTGTTTGTGTAGAGGTGACTGTGTGTTTGTGTAGAGGTGACTGTGTGTTTGTGTAGAGGTGACTGTGTGTTTGTGTAGAGGTGACTGTGCGTTTGTGTAGAGGTGACTGTGTGTTTGTGTAGAGGTGACTGTGCGTTTGTGTAGAGGTGACTGTGTGTTTGTGTGTTTGTGTAGAGGTGACTGTGCGTTTGTGTAGAGGTCACTGTGCGTTTGTGTGTTTGTGTAGAGGTGACTGTGTGTTTGTGTAGAGGTGACTGTGTGTTTGTGTAGAGGTGACAGTGTGTTTGTGTAGAGGTGACAGTGTGTTTGTGTAGAGGTGACTGTGCGATTGTGTAGAGGTGACTGTGTTTGTGTAGAGGTGACTGTGCGTTTGTGTAGAGGTGACTGTGTGTTTGTGTAGAGGTGACTGTGCGTTTGTGTAGAGGTGACTGTGTGTTTGTGTGTTTGTGTAGAGGTGACTGTGCGTTTGTGTAGAGGTCACTGTGCGTTTGTGTGTTTGTGTAGAGGTGACTGTGTGTTTGTGTGTTTGTGTAGAGGTGACTGTGCGTTTGTGTAGAGGTGACTGTGTGGTTGTGTAGAGGTGACTGTGTGGTTGTGTAGAGGTGACTGTGCGTTTGTGTAGAGGTGACTGTGCGTTTGTGTAGAGGTGACTGTGTGGTTGTGTAGAGGTGACTGTGTGGTTGTGTAGAGGTGACTGTGTGTTTGTGTAGAGGTGACTGTGCGTTTGTGTAGAGGTGACTGTGCGTTTGTGTGTTTGTGTAGAGGTGACTGTGCATTTGTGTAGAGGTGACTGTGCGTTTGTGTGTTTGTGTAGAGGTGACTGTGTGTTTGTGTTTTATCAGTGTTTTACTCTTCAGCTACAGGTGAAACTCAGTCTGAATATTGTTCTTAATTCTGCGAGTTTCACCTGTTTATGTCAGTTTGTCTCTGTGTTCTTCTGTTCCTCCTGGTTTGTGTCTGTGTTCTTCTGTTCCTCCTGGTTTGTGTCTGTGTTCTTCTGTTCCTCCTGGTTTGTCTCTGTGTTCTTCTGTTCCTCCTGGTTTGTCTCTGTGTTCTTCTGTTCCTCCTGGTTTGTCTCGGTGTTCTTCTGTTCCTCCTGATTTGTCTCTGTGTTCTTCTGTTCCTCCTGGTTTGTCTCGGTGTTCTTCCGTTCCTCCTGGTTTGTCTCGGTGTTCTTCTGTTCCTCCTGGTTTGTCTCTGTGTTCTTCTGTTCCTCCTGGTTTGTCTCTGTGTTCTTCTGTTCCTCCTGGTTTGTCTCGGTGTTCTTCCGTTCCTCCTGGTTTGTCTCTGTGTTCTTCTGTTCCTCCTGGTTTGTCTCGGTGTTCTTCTGTTCCTCCTGGTTTGTCTCGGTGTTCTTCTGTTCCTCCTGGTTTGTGTCTGTGTTCTTCTGTTCCTCCTGATTTGTCTCTGTGTTCTTCTGTTCCTCCTGGTTTGTCTCGGTGTTCTTCTGTTCCTCCTGGTTTGTCTCGGTGTTCTTCTGTTCCTCCTGGTTTGTCTCTTTGGTCCCTCTTGCTGTTTCTCTAAAGTCCCAAAGGAATAACAGAACCCTTTCACACTGCAAACCTATGTTTCTTTGCCGTGTAGAAATGCTGTTCTGACCCCAGACTGTAAAGAAACAACAAACCTCTGATTTTAAAGATAAGTGTTAAAAACACACAACTCCAGAGATTAGGATTGTCAGACAGCGAGCTTCATCCTCAGGGAGCAACTTCAGAAAGGAAAGAGCGGTACCTGCAAAAACTCTGAGGTGGGTTAGCTCTATAACGTTATTGGCCCAAAGGGAAAATTTGGTTCAGCAGCAAAATATAAATGTGTTTTACTGCTCAGTAAAATAAAGACTTATTTTACTGAGCAGTAAAATATTCTCGTATGATATGTCCTCCCTGAGGACTGAGTCCAAACTGCTCCTTCAGCCTGAACCCTGACCTGTTCGTTGTTTACATTTGTGTGAGAGATATTTGGTGTTGGCCAATTACTCAACTGGCCTCTGACATAATTAATTTTACCCACACAACTTCTGTTTCTGTAAATGGAAAGCTAAAAAAAGCACAGACTTTATGAAAGACCTGTAAAAAAAGAGTCATCAGAGACAAAGGAGTAGAACTGGGAAGTGTAAACTTCAGACCATTGGGCCTCATTCACGAACGGTTCTTAGGAACAGATTTGTACGTAAATCCTACATACGCGGTTTTTACGAAGAAAGTGGCATTCACGAATATTTCTCGTAACCAGAATTTCTCTTGGGCAAGTACAAATCCTACGAGTCCTCAGGAGCACTCGTACGCATTCAGTGCCGACATGTTCACACGCTGGGGTTGTCCTCTTTGGTGAAGTTGAATAAAAATACAACATTCCAGTGATATTTCCGTCATATCGATGTATGTATTTATTTATTTGTAGTAATCTTTATTAGTAATCTTTATTTATATACCGCCTTTTTCACTGCAGATCTGGCCTACTTTTTAATTCATTTTGAAATGAAATGTGCCAACGCTTTATCAAATACATTGGAAATCTTGCCGTGTATTAGTGACCCCTTCCTATTTATAGGGGGCATTTCTTTATCCACGGGCCACAGAACAACGGCATATATACTGCTGCTGCAGGAGGTTACGGGGTCCGCGCTGAGTCTCTGCGCTGGTCTCTCCTATGGATCTATACGGGTCTGCACTGGTCTCTCCCATATACGGGTCTGCACTGGTCTCTCCCATGGATCTATACTGGTCTGCACTGGTCTCTCCCATGGATCTAGACGGGTCTGCACTGGTCTCTCCCATATACGGGTCTGCACTGGTCTCTCCATACGGGTCCGTGCTGCATGCTCCTGGATCCATACGGGTCCGCGCTGGTCTCTCAAGTCTGGTCTATGCGGTCTATCTTCGGTCCGCGCTGGTCTCTGCGCACCAGTCTCTCCAGTCAGGTCACTACAGTCTATGCGGTCTCTCCTATAGGTCCGCGCTGGTTTCTGTGTGCTGGTCACTCCAGTCTCTCCTCGGGTCTGCATTGGTCTCAGCGCTGGTCCGCGCTGGATCTCCTCCCAGGGTCCAAAATATTTTGAGATTAATCTCAAAACATTTTGAGATTCATCTTTAAAATAATACATAATATATTTTTAAATTAAGCTCATAACATTTTGAGATTCATCTCATCATATTCTTAGATTAATCTCATAATTTTGCTAGTTCGACTTTATTATCATAATATTTCGACTTTTAAGTCAACATTTTATAACTTTATTCTCAGTCTGGTAAAAGAAGTGTAACTCGTTGCTTTAGGCCTGTTGCTGTTTCCTCTGCCGTCTGCACACGGCCCTGCAGTCCCTTATATGGGCATTAATGAGCGGTTACTTATGCTAAGTACCTATGCTAATGAATCACCTGGCACGCGCGCTGTACTTACGAGGAAATGGGATTCATCAATCTGAGAGAACAGCTGCGAACAATTCAGCGGCTTACGAGTGCGTTGATGAATCCCACGTGGGGACTTCTTAGAAATCTACTTAAGGACAACTTGAGAAGAAAGTTGAGTAGTTTCTTACGAAGTTATTTGTGAATGAGGCCCATTGTCCACTTGTAACTGTGAGACCCCAGTGCAGCCGCCAGGGAAGGTGGAGGTTAACGTCTGTGGAGCCTTTCTAAAGTTAAGGCCGTGTCCCGAGTCCATCTCAATTTCAGCGTCGTGTGACATCACACCATTCATGCTGGTTCTGTTTTTAAGGAAGAGGCAGCATCAGGGTTTGGGCTGAAAAACCAGTGTTTTAGTGGAAAAGAGCCTTCAGCAATAAGGTTATTGACTTTTCCAGACTGATCGCTTTAAATGATCTTTTCTTTTAAGACCAGTTTGGAGTCTACTGCTTCATTTTGCCTGTGACATCATGAGTTTATAAACTTTCAGGCTTTACTGTAGCCATCGTAATGATGATAAGAAGACTGAGGCACTCCCAGTGCAAGACGGAGCATTACCACCACTGTCAGACTGTACAATGAGTCACTTTAAGTCATTAATCACCTGCACTAGGACTGAAGAACCAGAACTGCTATTTCCACTTTTTTATTGTGTATAATTATATCCTGCACATCCTATTTTTATTTGTAACCTTGACATGTTGCACACTTCTGTCTTTAGCACAATCTGATTCTATCTGTGCCAATAGTGACATGTACATTACTCCATTGTGAGATCAATAAAGTGTATCTTATCTTAACTTTTAAAGAAAGTTGGATGAGTCTTTAGTGTCAACAGTTCTCTGCAATAGCCTTTTTCTTGCACAATCCTCTATCTTTGCATTTTACCTTAAAAGTGAGACATTATTTTTACAGCCCATTACATATGCACAGTAATATTCCCCTGTGGTGGAGAGGGCATTTCTCAGGGCACAGCCTCTGCGCTGGTGTGCACTTTTAACAGCCCGACTCAAATCAGATGCAGCTTTTATTGCAACATAAACAATAGCGCTGAAAAAAACAAACAAAATAAAGCTGTTAATGTATTTTATAGTTGAGGATATGTCGACAAAAGGAATGTTTGGCTCTGCGTACTGTGCACCCTCTAAATAAATCAAAAGAACTTGGCTGGACTGAAACTTTCTCCTGCTTATATTAAATATCATAGTCTTATGATTTAGATACTGTTTTGTTGTCGCTGGAACTATATGAATTAAAGGAAGTTTGATTTGAAAGAAGAAATAAATCCTGTGAATGTTTTGTTCTATACCAGGGGTGTCAAACTTATTTTGATTAAGGGCCGAATAAAAAAAAGAAAGAGCTGGTCAGGGGCAGAAGAAAAAAAAGTGGGTTTCATTTATTATATATATATATTTTTTGACATATTTTTTCACATTTGTTAGATTGGAGATTCTTTTCTGATTAGAATTAGTTCAGTTTCTATGGACTGAACCAAAACTGGACCAAATATTGAAGGTATAGAGGAAGATTTGTTACTTCCGGGTGGATCATCAAGATTATTGCTCCTCCCAACTGTCAATCATTCTGGTGATTCGTGCTCGTCAAATAAGACCAGACGGTGTTGTTCAAAAAGTGGAGAGGGCGGTTCTTTCCTAAGAAAATTGGGAGATCCTTTATTTATTATGGTATTAATGTTATGATTGTTTTCTCAGTAATGGATAACATGCAATTGCCGCCTATTACCATTTATGCTGCTATTTGATATCATAAATTAAAATCCTCTCAAGGGCCACTGGAAATGGTCTCATGGGCCGGATCTGGCCCCCGGGCCTTGACTTTGACACCAGTGTTCTATACAATATGGACGTTTAATACCTTTGACTGTTTCTAGAGCCTTCTTGCTAAAAGAAGAGTTAAAGGGGACATAACACACACAATATTCACTGATTTCATTAATACAGTTGTCATTAATCCTCTCACAGTTTTTATTCGAGTGATTCATGCCTGCTTGAATCATTTATATTCGACTTGCCCCCGCCCCCCTATTGTGAGTTGTGGGTGATTTGGATTCTGTTTTGCCAACTATAATCTAGGAAAGTACCAATGATAACAATATTGCAATACTGCAGTAGTAAAGGCCCCTCGCTAACGTCATGGTGGTGGTAAAGTATTGAAAGCGGCACAAAAACAAAAAATTGCAGGTTACCACGGAGCAAAGTATTGTAAACTACATTGCCCATGATCCTTTGCGCTGCAGTGTGCAACAAACAACAAGAAATTATGAAATAAATCAAGAAATCACCAGGTGTAGAACTGAATTCATCGTGTGGAACAATCCCCTTCTCGCTTCTTACCTTGAATATAATACGGAATAATTCTGTGATCAAATGTTAGACAATGCTAAGTTTAGTTGTATAGCACAGTACATACACCAGTTATCACAGTGCAAAGGCAATAATAAAATCACAAAAGATAATAAATCATCAATTATACATATCAATCATAGATATCATGTTGCATTGATTTTACAGTCTAGACTTCAGGTTTCATTTTAAGGTTTTCTATTGTGTCCGCTGCTGTAATTTTTCCCAAACCGATGAATATTTCTTTAGCGCTCTTGAGGATTATTTGTTGTCTCTTGTAAATGATTACTTTACTTGACTTTCTCACAGTCGTTCCTATAAGTTGGGCAGAAAACGTCTTTTTTGTTGTAAAATTCTCTTAGTGCTGAATAATGAGGTGTACCTGGCTGATAGCGGCTGATTACTCTGTGCTTAGCTCTCATTAGCGCCTGATTAGTTAAATGTAAAGTGTGCGTCAATAACTACTATTGAACAGCCGTTTTCTCCCATTCACTTGATTCTGCTGCCCGTGGAAATGTCTGTCCAAAAACAGCTGGAGTGAAGCCAATTTGACAGTTTGTAACAATGTTCCAGCCAAAATGTTTTGGTAAATATGTATTTCCCTCAAGTTGCACTGTCTGTGGTTATTTTTTGTTTTGGCTCTCAGAAAAAGTTCTCTCCATTCCCCTTCATTTTAATGACACATTTGACCACGTTCTGGGGAAACAGGTTTCATATTTTACAATTGCTGAGAAGAACCATGGACAAAAGCAGCACAATGTTACTTTGTTAGTATTATATGCTCTAAGATATCAATATCTTCTGTTGTTATGATGACCTTTTGATATGCTTAAAGAAAAGAGAAAGAGTCTTAGAGTTATTTTGTAGTATAAAACACTAAACATCAAAACATCACATTCTACAATCTGAAAGCCACAAAACAAAATGATTTATGTTCATGATACAGTCTCATAGGACGATATTTTCACACTTCTGCGTCTTTGGAAAAGTCTATATATATATATATATATATATATATATATATATATATATATATATATATCCATCCATCCATTTTCTACCCTTTAATCCATTTCTGGGTCAGGGGGGTGGCAGTCAGAGATGCCACCCAAGTCTCATAGCACCAGCCCCTCACTGACCCTCTGCAGGTGGTGAGTCCACAGGAGGACAGCTGCTCTCTGAGTGTGAGCAAAGTGGGGTTAAGTGTCTTGCCCAAGGACACAACGACAGCAGTCATCAGTGGGAGTCGGTGGAGAAGGTGCAGAGGTGGGAATTGAACCCACGACCTTCTGGACTTAAGGCCAATGCTCTACCAACTGAGCTACTGTCTCAGTAGCTCAGTTGGTATATATATATATATATATATATATATATATATATATATATATATATATATATATATATATATATATATATATATATATATATATATATATATATATATATACACAGTACATTAACAGCCATTCTAAATACACACATCGCTATAGGAACAGTAATGGAAATAATTCACCCAATGTTGGATTACAAGCCCTGACCCTGATCTTGTTAATACTCATGAAGTGGAACATGACGTCTTCACACTTGAACCATTTTGTCTCATGAATCATCGAGCTGCGTGCAAACACAGTCTTGTACATTATGTCTTATTTATCAAATCAGTGAAGTCGGCCAACCAGGAGGCTCAGTGAGGGTCATGTGATACAGATGACACGTGAAAAGATTCCTAATGTCTGTGGTAAGTACGAGTGTTGAATATATAAAGTGTTCCATAATGTACCACAAAGGAAAGTACAGATGATACTTTTTGTGAAATATTAATTCAAGAGCTATAAATAACAGACGGGTTTCCAATGACGCCTTTGGTGTGTGGCTATGTTATATAGGTGCCTTACCTTTATAGATTTTTCTTTTTGTTTCATTTTTGTATTTCACAGACCAAAGGAGTCTGTATTTCACAGACCTGAGGAGTTCTCAGATTCTCAGATAACAACAACCTGGCAACCACAGAGCCAATCAGGAGCCGTGCCATCCCCGCTCGAGCTGTTCATTAACTAACACATTCCAGGGATTGAAGGCTCCCTTTTCTAAACGGACAAATGGCTTTTTCTCTGACCTGTTGTTGAGGAACTTAGCTGCTGTGATTTAGGGCTATACAAAAATAAATCAAACTGAATTGAATTGATTGCTCAGTTGTTCAGGGTCATATTGAATTCATAAAAACATCTGAAGAACTTCAGAATCATTCCTATTGTTTAACCACATCATTTTACATATTTATTTTTCAAAATTAACGCAGCTAAAGCAAAATATTGCCAGTGAGCATTACCCTATTGTATATCTGTTCATTTATATGGTTCGTTTATACTTTAGATACTACAGGAAAAAGTAAAAGGTGCACTTTATTAATCCCTGTAGGGGATCCTCTGCATTTGACCCATCCTGACGCTGCTAAGGCTTACGTCAGGAGCAGTGGTCGCCGTAACAGCGTCCGGTAACCCATCTCCAGATGTTGATGCTCGGCTTGGTCCGGACTATCAGAGCTGGAGGATTTTACTTAGTGTGCATGTTTTTAGTGGTAGGGGAAACCGGAGTACCCGGAGAAAACCTACGCAGGCACGGGGAGAACATGCAAACTCCACTCAGAAAGATCCTTTTCCGACCAATTTTATACTACAGTTGTACACATATGTGTTTCAGTGTGCTATAAATACAGAGAAAAATATGTGTCTTAGAAGACATGGACTCAGTTGGCTTTACACTTCCACTTTCAGACAGCATCCATCAGCTTTGAAAAATCTGCTCCCATTTCCTCAAACATCCCAAAATACTAAGAACACTTCAAACTGGTCGCAACACGTCTCATATTGAAACTCGCAGGTGGCCACTTCCTCTGAACGATCATTCCTTGTCTTTATAAATAATCAATGAATGCTCGGTTATGGGAGAATTGACTAAAACGGCGTCAAAAACATCTATTCATCAAACCAAAGCTGCAGCATGACGACATGTGCTCCCTTTGCTTTCTTCTCACCAGCTTCAACCTTCTCCTTTTCTGCTCTTTCTCGTCTGGCGGCTCGCTGACGATAACAGATGGTGGGCATTAATAACTTCATCTCAGCGTAAAATGAATTCATATCCGGCTCCTTGGCGGCGGAAGAGGGAGGTGGCTGGCTGGATCATCTTTTTAAGGCGGCACACAAGGCCTATTCATCTCCCCTGTGACACACGAGCACAAACACGCACACAAAGACCTTAAGAGCAGCAGCATATTTCATTTTTATGGGTCAGAAAGCGGAGTGCTGATTTAGGCATTATTTATGACCGGACGCGCTTTTCTAAGATTCGGAAAGAACAGGCAACGGTACAAGCGTTTAAATACAGCTAAATTATTGATTACGCAGCAAAGAACACAGACACTTGTTGCGTTCTGTACCAAGACTGTTGTGTTTTATTTATATTTAACTTAATTTAGGAATTACCGTTCATGTAATCAATGCATGTTCCGCTGCTAATAGCTTATGGTATCTTAAGGCATTGAGAAATCTAATGCATACAGGTTTATATCATGTTCTATAACTGTTCAGACTGGCTTAAAATTAGGTGTTAAATTGTATCTACTTACTTATGTCTCTTTCTATGAGTAAATGACATAAACATAGCATTTATAAGCCTAATATGAGCTTCTGTCATAAATTACATGTTAACTAAAAATACATATTATATTTCAGATGTTTTAATCCTACTACTTTGTGTTTTCTGCCATATCTACAATGTAATTTACAGTCTCTCTGTAAGTTACAGGGTTTTAAAAAGACAAACAAGGGCCATTGCTATAAGGACTAGCAGAGTAAAAGAAAATGTATTATTTATGAATGGGAAAGAGCTCCTCAAATTGTTGTATGAAAGAAGAAGCTGTAATCCACAACAGAAAAACAAAGCTTGCTTGTGCAGCAGTCACATCGACCCGTGACTGCTGGACATTGACCTTGAATGCGGTCGGTGTGATGTGTTTCCAAAGTGTTCCCAAAGTCGGAGAAGTAGTTTGTTCAGAGCGTCTAAATGTATCTGACGCAGCTGCAGGTTCTCCTCAGATGCTGCTGATGCTGCGCCGTGTAATGTCACGCTACACTGAAAACACCACCAGCTTCAAACAGACTGGGAGAAAACTATCTGGATTTCAAATGAGTATTCTGGCTCAAAGTTCAGCAAGATCCAAGCAATCAACAAAACATAATGTTGAAACCACATTTTTAACACTAAGATTTAACTTGCTCTCAGTGATAAACCTGTTGAGATGGAAAAGGTTATTTGTGTTGAGTTGTTTTGGCTTTTTGGATGTTTTAACTAATTTCTGGATTTGTTGTTAACGCCTTGATGCCATAATCCCTCGTGGACGAATGAGGGACAATACAGTCTGGATTACAAAGGTCACTACGTACAGAATTTGTCATTCCAACAATCTCAAGTGTGTTGTCTCCTTTAACCACTTTTACAGATTGAACTTCCAGTGTTTGTAATTCTGTCTACAGAAAAAACAAAGGCAATGTCATTACCTCTTGGCAGGGCATTAATCCACAGAATATACAGATGCTATTTTCAGTATGTTTTCACAGATTCTGTAAGTAATACGGTCATCAAAATTATAAACCCATGGACAAAACTATTTAACGCATTTTTAACCATACAATATACATGCTGAATACATCCAGGCAGAAATACAGTCAAAGTAAAGTGTAGTAGCCCCATCAGACCACTGCATCTTGTATTCATTTTAAAAACAAAAGCTCTCCTGTCAATCACTATTCAAGGTTTTGGTCTCAGAGCTGATTGGCTGAGGGAGGGTGGTCCTTTCTTTTTCATTGTCCTGGCCACAAAGTGAAAATGTGTGAAACTGTTTTGAGAGGAATCAGATAGATGGATGGTATCACTTCAGCTTATAGTTTGAAAGTTACATCACCCAGCTTTAAGAATAATTTCACTACTTTTTTTTGCACATTCGAACTCATCTTCCTTAGCAGCATTACCATTCATAAAGCATCCCGCCTCAGCTGCAGTGCCCCGAGCGGCCACTAGAGGCTGTCCTGTTGCCATGAAGCTGGAGTTTGAAGTGTCTCAGCAGGGGAAGGGCCCAGACTCGTACACACGGAGGTTAAATCAATGATACAGTGATGGAAGCGTCAGCACGGACACATGGGGACAGACGAGAGGAAGAGATGGAGTGTAGGGCCACAGGCAGAGGGGCGGCGGGGGAAACACTTGATCAAAACCAGAGGAGGGTAATTGAAAAGCATATTATATAATGGCAGATGAAACGTTGGTCTGAAGTGCAGTAAAGACGCACTGTGACCGAGCCGCAGAGAGAAGACATGCTTTTTTTACATCTGTTGGAAAAAAGAAAAATGGAGGCTGCAAAGCATGTTGACTTTCTACAGAGCGATGAGGTGCCATTCAGCATCACTTAACAATTATAAACTCAATTATACTTACTTTTGGGGAGTAGTCCTCAACGTTTTGCATATTTAACAACTGTAATCGAAGAAGTATTAAAGCAAGTTTCATTATATACCAGCACATAATTTTTCCTAAAAATTTAGGTACTCCAGTTTTAATGCATCTGGCCACAGCAACATTAAAATATAGAACATTACTGATATGTATTATATAGATAGATAGATAGATAGGTGTAGGACAAAAAGGTTGGGAACCACATTTATCCCAACAGCTGTGAAGTGTCTTAACAGCACATAGCACTTTGTACAAACTTTTGCACCATATATTTGCACTCATGGAAATTAACTTTTTGTCAATCTCTCCTGCTCTTGTTTTCTTCAATGTTGTGATTTTACTGTGTCGGCCTGTTTTTAGATGATTGTTTGCTGCAAAACCGATTCTCCCGAGTGGGACAATAAAAATAACTTGAACTTGAACTTTAAGCAAGAAAAAATATATTATATTATTATCATTATAAAGCACAAAAAAAGAGTGTTTCAAAGCTACTTTTTTCCAGCGCATTCAAAAGTAAACATGAGTAAAACAATATAGTAGTTTATAGTAGTTGGTCAACACAGTCTTCATAAATACCTGCTTGTCCTCTATCCCATCACTCTCTTTATGAATAACCTCCATAATGATCATTTATGAAAGGGAGGCGTCTTAATTTTACATGTTGTAATATCTCACTGTCTGCTCTGTAACGGTCTTGTTCTCATAGATAATGGGAGAATGTTTTTATCAGCTCCAGAGCTGGTGCTTGCCTTGTTGGGGCCCTAAGCAGAAGTCAGCATTGGGGCCCTATACACCTAACTCAAGAAACCATAAAAATTAAAGCAAGCATAAGTTCCATTACACATATATATTACAAATATATAATTCACAATAATCAAGCGATATAAGACTTGATTAGTGATGGATTCAACCGAAGATAAAAAAACATTTGAACTTTTCACACACGATACTTAGAGAATTTACCACTAACTCTAAGATTCTGCTGAACTTTTATCGCTGCACCATTGAGAGTTTACTTGTTGGTTCTGTGTCTGTGTGGTTCGGTAACATCACAGATAAAGAAAAGAGAGCTTTAAACAAGGTGCTCCGCTCTGCAAAGAGTAAGTAGTAAGTAAGTAAGCTTTATTTATATACCGCCTTTTCACTGCACATCGGAGTCTCAAAGCGGTTTACAATTACAACAAAAAGAGGACCGTGAACTGTGAACTTCCTGTCCTGGAGGCTCTTTATCAATCCAGACTTTTTAACAGTGTCCTGAGAATTATCAATGACTCTTCTGGCCACCCAGGAAAAGCCTTGTTCCAGCTTCTTCCCTCTGGCAGAAGATACTGTTCTCTGAGATGCAGGACATCTCGTTATGCTAATAGTTTTTTTCCACGAGCTGTTAACAGTTTGAATAGAGCACTTTAATGTTTTTGCACTTGTATAGATCTGTTTTAGTTGGTCAACTTCACAGTGACATTTGTTTACTGTTTTTAAAATTTGTTTTATTTTTGTCTGTTGTTTTATGTCTGTACTTGTCCTGTGCACACTGGGAACTTTTACTAATGTATTCCAATGTAGTGTTACTGCAAATGGCGAATAAAATGAATCTGAATCTGAATCTGATAAAAGATATGCCAAAGAAAAGACGACTTCAACAATAACATTTATATTCGGGTAGATGGATGTTCCCTGGGTTTATTTCTTTGACTGAATCTGAAAATGTCGGCTTCTGCCCACCAATCTGCACATCACTTTAATCAGCTGCTGTTCTGGCCGTAATAAAGTGTCCTGAGTTATTCGAGCCACGTTTTCACCTCGTAAATTACCACAAGCTCCATATCCTCCGCAAGATTGGTCCAAGCGCCGCGCTCCTCGGCCGGTCGCAATTTATGAAGCATTTACGGGAACAGAGAACCAATCCAGGAGTCCAAATATAGAAGAGAAAAGAGAAAGGGGACTGGGGAAAAGTCATTCAAACTCAATATTTTCACTGATACAAAATGAGGGCAAACTGTTTTAAAAGTGCAGGCACTACAACTAAAAAAACAAAAAGACAAAGAGTGAAGTTGAAGTGTGTATGCTCTTGATTTTCAACATGTAGTTTAGCTTTAAACACTGGCAAATTCTGATTTTAAAACTGTTTAAATAGTCTTTATATAGCCTGTATATAGTACTGTGGGTATCGCAATATTGACGACTATGATCGCTACAGACATGATAACAAATGGTTTTAGAGTAGATTCAGGCATTTTTATTTTTAGCTGTAAGGACAACAATTTAAAGCTAATTTTCTCAGAAGAAGCAGAACACAAGTGAAACCTTACAATAGGTTGCGTTAGGGCTGGGCGATATGGCTGAAAACTATATCACAATAAGTAATTTATATCGGTCGATGACGATATTTATTATATGACTTGGACCGTATGCGCGCTCTGATTGGCTGATTTCACCGAATGCATCGAGTCTCTGCACCCACTGCCTTTCCTGCCGCACATTCTATTCCTCCAATCATATAACCAACCGTATAACCATTGACACGCCATTGAAAAACGATCTATAGATCCATGGACGCTACACATGGTACGGTTGTTGTTTTTGCATTTCCCAGAACCTTTTGCGGTTCCTGCCAGGCTGTGATAGGTCGAGAAGCCTCTGCCTACATCCCCCAGAATGCCGCACGCTTCTGACTCGGCTTTACTTCCTGTGTTTATTTCCTGTTTTTTCTAACTGAGCGAAGTTGAACTATCGACCTTGTTTTCTATTGATATCGAACACGTGTCTATCGCGATATATATCGTTAGCGTTTTATCGCCCAGCCCTAGATTGCGTTGTGTTCACGGCCTACAAGTCTATTCAGTTTCAGAGGTGTCAGTACAAGTCTAATGGAAATAATATATTTTTGAAGGATTATTTTCTATCTTGATTAGATTCACAACCGCAATATTATTCTTATGTCTAAAACTCCTTTCTACTTATCTCCAGTTGATTAAAACCTCGTTGATCTGTACAGACAAACCAAGACGGTTTTTGTTGCGTATGGAATCTCAGAAAAAACAGAATTTAGAAAATCTTTTGACCATAAATAAAAGGAACTGTTTTTTAATTGTCACATGAACACAATTCATTCTAAGGATACACTATGTTTGAGGCAACCTAGACATATTTTTTCAAGTCAATATTGATTAAGCAAACTTTCAAGGACAACTTTATTCGTGAGTTCAGCTATTGAGGAACAGCACTGTGAAGTTGACAGAAATAATTCACGTTATTTTGTCGTGGTGATGGAGAGAGCACTTAGAACCTCCATGCCAGCAGGATTGCAAAAACCCATACACCCAAAAAGCGTTTCTCAAATCAAATCCGTCCAGTCTCTTAGCGGAAGGCGACTGAGCCCGAGTTGAAAGAACAGGGACACAGAGCAGACATCAAAACAGCCGAGTGGGATCAGGACGTACGATGACGGCTTTCATGTATAAAGGGGTTATAGAGATCATTCTTGCCCTTTGAGAAAACTCTCAAATAGCACCTGCCCAATCATTTCAGGAATCTCAGAGTTAGCCAAAAATGTCCAAACTTTCAAAGTGATTAAAACTTGTAGAGATGATATATCGCAGGCCATTATGTGGATCTTAACGGGTATGTCCGGAAACGGCTGGTGATAAAAAACGGTAGGGAGATCATATTTCTATATGAATGAAGAGTGTATCATCACTTAATGTGAGAATCTTTCTTTTATCAACCATTTTTCAGTGACTGAGGCCACAATCTGTCCAAAGGGAAAAAGAAGACGGAAGTTAAATTGAAGGCTGAAGTTAATACACCTTTCTGTCATCAGCTTAGTGAAAAACATTGTATCTGTAGTATACTTGTAAGAAAGCCCTGTGGGTCTCTATTTGACACTTTGGGCTGAGAGAGGATGGTCCCCTGATTGTCACTTTTCTGTCTTGACAAACACAAAAATAAATGTAGACTAAACTAAAAGAACCAAACTGTTTTGAACAAGGAATTTGTTTGATGGATTTCTAGTTGTTGTTGTAAAGTACCCCAGCTTTAAAAGAAAGATTTATTTTCCCAGAATACTGTTATAGTTTTTGTAACGTCAGTATCATGTGGCCCATATCCAAATACTTTATGCATTATCTATAGAGTACATTATACAGACCAAATACATCAAATACTGTACATATCAGCATTGTCAAGGCTGATAATGTTTTTGTCTTCTGTAATTCTTCTGTTTGACATCATTCCACTTAATTCCAAAACTGCAACCTTGTTTTCTGTCATTTAGATACATGTCTTTGTTAATTTCCCAGCCAAGATATTCCCTAAGCAACTTAGCAGCAGGCAGAACGGACAGAATTGGAGATAAAACGCTCCTACTAAATGTCTTCTCAATGGAGACAAAGAATAGCTGTTTTATTGTTGGTATAATGGGGATCTATGCTTAAGAATGAGTATAAATCTAGCTGTAGACGTTTGATAAACTGCAGTAGTTTGGTCCCAGCAGGCCCATCTGGTCCATCTTTGAAGCTGGCTCACTGCAGACCCCGTTTTTCACTTTGACGTCATACGTTTTCCGATGCAGTATAGCAATAAAAACGCTATTACTCACAATCTGGGTGTCTTCAATTGAAACAGCCTATATGTTATGCTTTAAAAAGGCAACAGACCATGTGATTACTTCTATTCCAATAAACGAGAGGCAAATTAACCGAATGAACTTGAATTGATTTCCTTGTAGGGTTGCGTGTATGTGGATGAAATTAAAGTAACTAAACAGTGACGGGAATGAGCTAAGACTCGAGAGGCGGTGGCACTAAATGGTTTTGAATGTCTGAAAGAATGGGATCAATAAACAATAGTCGCAGCATGACACTACATTAGCAGATGTTATGGAAGAGACATCCATGGCGGACGTATGGGGCATTGCTTCTAATAGTTTATGGAGTTTTGGCTGCACTTTGTATTTAAAGTTGTGGAATAAATAAATGTGATTAATCTGGGACTGTTTATTTAATCTGGGAGTGTTTATTTGCTGCATGAGGATGACAGTTGTTTGTAGCACATGAGCATTCACATCTTTACAGAAACACATGACAAGATACATTTAAAGTACTGTGTAGTTTTTACTCTCATCTAGCGTTGAGATCATGTAGTGCCTACTTCTACCACCAACACTACGGAAGCCTTCGAGGACCAAGTGTCGTGTTTGACAATGGTCCTCAACACCCACTAAGGAAAGAATCCTTTAGTTTGATAAATGACCGGATCTCCCCAAAACACTACTGCGCTACAAATGTGTCTCATGCACGTGCGCGGAGGTGACCTGCTATAACATGTTTATTGTTTTCTTACCGTGATGAGGATGCAGTGCCCGATTTTCACCGGGCGCTGCATCCTCATCACGGTAAGAAAACAAAACAATATGCACGCTGTTGATATTCAGCCAATTGGTTTGTGGGGATTCTTTTTGGGGTTTTTTTGAGGCTTTGTTGAAGAAGCACTCTGAGCCTGGGACTGTATCCAGATTCCACAGAAGATTTCCGGCTGGAAAAAAAGATAGCACAAGAAAAATGAATTTGAATTCTAAAATATAAGATAAATGAGTAAATATTATGAAGATCATATTCAAATCAATACAAAAA